AGAAATCTATTGGTTTGGGGTGTAAATCCACCAATTTGGAACAGAAATCTATTGGTTTGGGGTGGAAATGCACCGATTTGGAGTAGAAATCTACTGGTTTGGGGTGGAAATGCACCAAATTGGGGTAGAAATCTACTGGTTTGGGGTGGAAATCCACCAATTTGGAGTAGAAATCTATTGGTTTGGGGTGGAAATGCACCAATTTGGAGTAGAAATGCACCAATTTGAGGTAGAAATCTACTGGTTTGGGGTTTAAATCCACCAATTTGAGGTAGAAATCTATTGGTTTGGGGTGGAAATGCACCGATTTGGGGTGGAAATCCACCAGTTTGGGGGAGATCTGAAGCCAGGAATGGATTCCTGGGACACAGACCTGCAGAGCCCTTCATGCTCCCCCACGACACCAACCCAAATCCTTGTGTCAATGGGTGGAAAGGGCGTGTTGGGAGCTCCTGCACCACTCCATCCCACCCAGAGGAGCAAGGACACGGCGCCACCTCCAAGCTCTCCTGTAGGTGACAATACTCCTGGAATTTGACAGGGGTAAGGCAAGCAAAATTCCCATTAACACTGCATCAAAATCAGGAGACATGTTGTGTCTCTTCTTTAACCTTTCTCCTCTCACGTTGCTTTTTATTCAACCCGTATCTCGATGCACTTATTGCTCATTCATTTTTCATGGGTTTGGTTGCCATATTCTCATGCAGATTTATCTGTCAGTCTGTCAGGACTTAAATCTCCCTCTTTTAACTCCTTGCAGCACGTTTAACCTTTTGTGCCCTGTCTTTTTGGCCCATATTTTTATCCTGCAGTCACTCTACCACACTGCTGAGCTCCCACATCCAGCCCAGGTGAATGTACAGTCCTCTTGGCCACCCCAGAGGTAGTGGGAAGACCTCAACAAGCAAAGGAGAACATATGTACACTGGAACAGTCATGAAATATGTTCATGGCCCTGCCAAACACAAGTAAGAATTTGGATGAACATATGTACACTGGAACAGTCATGAAGTATGTTCAAGGCCCTGCCAAACACAGGTAAGAATTTGGATGAGAAGAAGGAGACAAGAAGAAGAGGGGAACAAGAAGAAGAAGAAGGAGAAGGGAGGAGGAGACAAGAAGGAGGAGAAGGAGGAGACAAGAAGGAGGAGAAGGAGGAGACAAGAAGGAGGAGAAGGAGGAGACAAGAAGGAGGAGAAGGAGGAGACAAGAAGGAGGAGAAGGAGGAGACAAGAAGGAGGAGAAGGAGGAGACAAGAAGGAGGAGAAGGAGGAGACAAGAAGGAGGAGAAGGAGGAGACAAGAAGGAGGAGAAGGAGGAGACAAGAAGGAGGAGAAGGAGGAGACAAGAAGGAGGAGAAGGAGGAGACAAGAAGGAGGAGAAGGAGGAGACAAGAAGGAGGAGAAGGAGGAGACAAGAAGGAGGAGAAGGAGGAGACAAGAAGAAGGAGAAGGAGGAGACAAGAAGAAGGAGGAGACAAGAAGAAGGAGGAGACAAGAAGAAGGAGGAGACAAGAAGAAGGAGGAGGAGAAGAAGAAGAAGGAGGAGGAGAAGAAGAAGAAGGAGGAGGAGAAGAAGGAGGAGGAGGAGACAAGAAGAAGAAGAAGGAGGAGGAGGAGACAAGAAGAAGAAGAAGGAGGAGACAAGAAGAAGAAGAAGGAGGAGGAGACAAGAAGAAGAAGAAGGAGGAGGAGACAAGAAGAAGAAGAAGGAGGAGGAGACAAGAAGAAGATGAAGAGGAAGACAAGAAGAAGATGAAGAAGGGGACAGAAAAGAGAGTGAAGTGACTCAACAGGGTCAGTGAAATACTCAGAAATTCAACCCATTTTTTCCAAGTTTGGCCATGTCTCTGACCTGGAGTGGTTTTACCTCCTGAAGGTAAGGAATTAACTTCATCCTTCCAGCTTTGCAAAATGAGGTCCAGCTCCTAAACCCAAAGTTGTGCTGCAGAACTCAAGGCAGAAATCAGCTCACCAGCAATGGTTTAAAATGGAAATAAAATGAAAAGCTCAGAGACCTGGAACTGATCCATGGATCTGTTCCATCTGTAGATGTGTGACCTGGGCACCAACGTGCAACATCCATCAATCCATCCTAACCCAATCCATCCCAAAAACCTTCTCAGTGACAAAGCTGCAACGATGACATACAAAAATGATGACTTTTTTTTCACACCTACATCCTTCTAGAAGGTTTTTTTAGGGGAGAAGGAGACTGCAAGGAAGGACAAAATGGTTGTGGTCCCAACTCTCATTGAGCTTCCTGCCTCCTTCACGTTGTTTCAGGTAAGAGCAGCTATGAAAGCAGCAGGACCAAGTATCCCCATGTCAATATTCTTCCACCCAAGACAACTGTGGCTCTGTTACCCCAAAACTCTCCATGAAGAACCAGCTCTCAAGAGGCTCCTCAACAACCTTGGCTTAAAATCCTGACTCTCAACTTCCTCTGAGCAGAAGAAGATTCCAACTCCATTTCTTTGGCCCATCACTACACTTACTCCAGATGTCATGCCCCTAACTTTAACCTCCATGAGAAGTTTAAAACAAGGAATCTTGACCAATTTGGGAAGGAGGAGAAGGCTGGAAAGGATATTGTCACAATCAAGACAGTCTGAACTATTCTTGTGTCCTGGTCAATATTTCATTTGGGATTCTTTTTTATCAGTCTTTAAAAGGATTGTCCCAAACTTTCATGACCCCTTCCTTGGTAGGAGAACCAGCAGCTGCTGCTCAATACCTTCTCCTTCAAAATTTCTCTTGACTCTTAAGTAGAGTTGGGCAAAGCTGATGAACCAGGAGGTCTCCAGGATTCTTCTCTCTCTCTGATTTCAAGCTGAGCATGAAAAATTATCACTGAGGCAACGTGGTTTGCTCAAATTGTTCAATATTACACTGATCTGAGCAAGAAATCTCTCAGCTGCTGGAGCTGGTGGTTCCCTTGAAGGTTGTTTGAAGGAGCTCCTCTGAGATTATGTTAATTTAGGTCGTTTGTTTCTGGGCACTGGCAGAAGTTGTCCTCACGTTCCCTGAGTGCAACCAGCTTCACCTCATGAGCCACCATCCAGCAGAGACCACAGAGTTGTTCAGCAGCCCAGGGTTTGTTCCAGAAATGATGATGACTGTGCCAAAATGTCTGCATCCAAACCTTGAACTCATTTACTTTACTCCTGACCACAGAATAGTAGAATCATTTTGGTTGGGAAAGACCTTGAAGTTGATCAAGTCCAACTATTAACCTCACTCTACCAAGTCTAACCACCAAACCACATCCCTCAGCACCACATCTCCACGGCTTGGAAACCCCTCCAGGGGTGGGGACTCCACCACTGCCCTGGGCAGCCTGGCATAACCCTGCACAGCCCTTGCCAGGGAGACATTGCTCCTCAGGGCCAACCTCAACCTCCCCTGGGGCAACTTGAGGCCGTTTCTTCTTCTCCTGTCCCTTGTTCCTTGGGAGAAGAGACCCCAGAAGGGTGGGCTGGGATTTATGAGCCACCTCCTCATCTTGTTGTGTCCAAAAAGAAGTTCACTGTGTGTTGGCAGGCCTGACACTTACAACCACTCTTGGTCCTTCTTAAACATGAGCCACCTCCTCATCTTGTTGTGTCCAAAAAGAAGTTCACTGTGTGTTGGCAGGCCTGACACTTACTCTTGGTCCTTTTTAAACATGTTGTCACCTCAAAGGCTGATGACTGAGGTAGGCTTCATGTTTTTAAGGTCAAGGGAGGAGAAAGAGAATAAAGCCAAGGCCAAAAATACCCTTTTAGAACAAGAGTTCACTCCTTATGTCAGTGAAGAGCAGATGCAGAAAAGATGCTGCTAGGAGAAGACATCAGATGATGAGGAAAAATCAGATGGAAGTACCTCTCAGGGGGTTCTACCAACAAGTAGCTACTTGAGAAGACTCTGAAGGTGCTCCCTGGGCTTCATACGTAGCCTGAATAAAGGTCTCACCTCTTCCAGAATAATTCCTGAGGGTTTTTTTTGGAGCTGGGAGGAAAACTAAATGGATAACCCAAAACTAACAGCACCCAGAGCATCTTCCACCAGGACGTCACCAAGGCCACCCACGTGTCCCCCTGAGCCAACCCAGATAAAGGCAGAGCTCCTCCAACCACCCCAAAATGTCCTCCCCAAAGGTCACACGTCCTGGAATATCCTTGGTGAGCTCAGCTCTGGGATATTCCATGCAAGTGCCATAAGAAATCTCACCATGCTTCCATGGTCTCCTTATGAGAGCATCCCAGGAAGATCTGCTCCATGTATTGCCACCATTTGGTGGAACCCAAACCTACTCTTCGAGCAAGAATGCTCCTACAAACCCATCTACCAGCAAATTCAGTCCATGTTATGAGTGCCAGGAACCTATCAGGACCTGTCAGCTGCAGAAGGACCTCAGATGTCCACAAAGCAACAGTGCTCAAAGCTCAGAAACCTCCTAACATCAAACCAAAATCAAAAGCCAAGTGCTGGAGGTCAGAAACCACCCAATTTATTAAGACTAAAAGCCAAACCCACCAGAATAAATCCCTTTTTCTGCAGGGAGAGGTCACTGACAGATGGACCACGCCATTAAAAGTCACCACTTGAAGTCAAACCC